TCAAGAGAGCCCCTTTGGATGTCTATAAAAGCCTAGTTTTCTGCCTGTTAGCTAAATAATTGACAACGCTTAAAATAATCAGGAGCAAATGAACAAAACGAAGACAATTGAGGCAAAAAGAAGCAAACAAAGGATTCTCAAGGCTGCAAATGTTTTTTGTGCGAGCCCTCTTTCATTCTCTTTAGCAACCTGTATTAAAAGTCTGGTCAGGTTTACACTTGCACTTCTGTGGGGAAAATTTGTTGCCAGCCTGCTGTTTGAACCACACATCATAGGGGACTGAAAACTGGCAAGGACACTAGCATTTATCCTGTAAAAATTGATAAATAAATAAAAATTCTGTTTTGATTCAGGTTTTATTCTCCTGCATTTTATGACTTTTGAGAAAGCTGCTTTGGCAGGCAAGTGTATATCAGCTTGGTTTGGTGAACCTCCTGCATTGTGTTTGGAATATGCACTCAGAGACACTCTGGCAAATTCTGTTCCCAGTTCCAAATTCTGAGCAGAATATATTGAGTGCGCACATGTACCCAAGTGCAGCTGTGCCAGGAATTTTTACAGGAATACAACCTTCACAAAAACAGAGGCATGAATATGTAGCAAAGTAGTATTAGAAAATAATCCTATTTTTTAGACTACTTTTTCCATTACATAAATAGGTAGACAGCTATTAGAAAAACAGTGTAGATGGCTATTAGAAAAACAGTGGACTCCATCCAACACTACAATTTCTGGGAAGTTGAATACAAATATAATAAAAGCATCTAACTAGAGATCTGGGCCAAAACAGCATGGTAAGACACCCTACAGCTCAGACACAGATCCACACAGCCTGCACAGCAAGCCTCTGAAACAGCCAATCATTACATATCCATCCTCATTACTGTTTAAATGACAAATGTTGTATACTAACTAAAGAGGGAATGTCCTGAAAAATTCTGTTCCTTGTGTCCTTTAGGAAAGATGTGCACTTAGTTGTTCCCTCCCATGGATTAGTAATTGCAAAGTATGGTCTATATGAGCCTCCATTACCTTCTAATGCACTCTGACAGAAACACAATCAGGCCAATAATGCAAAACGCATCCAGGATACCCTGACTCAGAAGGAAGAAGTCCATTTTATGTGTAAGTAGTTTCTGATAAAAAGTCAACACATACTCCCCATTTTTTAAATCTGGTATCTGTGGGGACAGAATCACAGCAACACTGTCACCAACAAATCTCTAATGTGCTTCTCTTCTGTACAGTAATCATGCTATGCAGCAACTTCTCCACCCCAAAGTCTGCTCCTGTGTGCTATTAAGGCTTTTAATACACAGCTATTTCAGGAGACACCTTGTGAATTTTTTCTGTTTTAGTCACTGAACAAAGACTGAGTCCACCAGGGTCAGAGGAGGGGCTGATCCCAAAATTGTGAGGCTTGCAGACTTTTTCATGGCAGTCTGCATGCCTGTCTAGACTACATTCTCACAAGACACAAACACATATTCAAGCAACTGTGGTAACAGATACAGCTGACTTTCAAGGACCTGTTGCACACAAAGAAGCTATTAAGGCTTTCAAGAGATGGGAAATAACTATATTCTGTAAGCAGCACAAAAGGTTACAGACAATCTTTCTTTTTAGCACTCACTTCATGTTAGACCCTTTGAAAGGGGACTTCAGCGGGAAGTTCTTGTCTTTAATAGTGACACAAATTTAACCAGAAAAATGAAATTCTGGGCAGCATCATATTTTATTGTCAGAGCATGTTAATGACACGAGAATTTTAAGTGCCTTTCCTTATCAAATAGAAGCGGCACTTCATGCAGGAGAGGTACTGATTGGGCTGTACCCCTTGGAGGCTGATACAGCTGGAGGTGGTGATCAATTTTAAAAGGTTTCCCAGTTAATGAGACTGCTGGTAGGCATTGATCTCCTCAGGAAAATTGTGATGTTGCAGCTACAGATCTTACAGAGGACAGACTAACAAGGGAGCTTATCTTTTGAAATGGCTCTATAGGCCAGGACTTTGCAGAGGTCACTGCTTTATATGCAGCACATGACCTTCCTTCCCTCCATTCCCAGCAAGCAGAGGAGATCAAAATACCCCAGCAGAGACAGTGAGGAAAGGGGCACAACCTCATATTTGTTCTCTTTGCTTCTAGACAAAGGGCCTTAGAGGAGGGAAGTAATGAGTCACTCATTTTTGCATGGCAGGCAAAAGCACATCTCTAAATACCAAGCACTTCTATGCGAACATGTTACTAATAACCAGCAGTACTTCAATGGAGTTACTTCACAAAATCTGAAATGTCACACAGCTTTTGATTACTTTTGGATGCTGGGCTCCTCAATGACAACATCTCTTAGCAATGCATGCTCAACAACCTCCAGTGGTACACCCTCCTCACCCTCCTCTTCCCGTGCCCACCAGAGAATTCCTTTAGGCCAGGGAAGGCAGTAGTGTCATTGTGTCTGCAGAGGAATACATTCTGCACAGCCAGCTCAGTGTCCAGCTAAGGTTGAGCCCTGGGAGGCTGGAGACTGAGGCCCAGGCAAAGGGCCATGAACTGCCAACCCTTTGCAAAAAACAGGGCCTGGGGACCTGTCACTTGGCCAGGGGAATGGACAGTGGGAAAAACAACAGGAACCAACAACTCCTGGGCTTCCCTATGTTTAGCCTGTGAGGGGATAAAAGCCCAGGGATTCCTTTGTTTAGGGTGCCTCCTTGGAAGCACCAGCTCAAGCTGCTACTTTATTATTTAGTTATTGCATTATGATTAAATTATTTAAGTATCTGGACGTCTGAGAGTCTGCAGTGGGAAACCTGGGGTTGAACTGGTAGGGAAACCTGGTCTGAATGTGATGTGATGGAGTGAGTGTGGGGAGTGTGGCTGCAAAGGGGCCTCAGTCCCAGTTCAGGTGGAATGACTGACAGACTGGCCCCTGGATGGTCTGACAGGAAAGTTTTCTTAACACTGCACCATGCAAGGGCTTTGCTTTACCAAAATTGCATTCACTGGAGGTATATGTTTTCAGCTCTCTTCCTCCAGGTGAAGGATCCACAGGGCCCTCCTGGTGCACGTTCAATACATAGTACACACAAATAATGTTCTAATAGTTAAACTTAAGCAATGGAGCTTGAGGCACTGTAGTGATGAGCCCATCTTCACTTTCAGTCGCATCAGACATGACACCAGCTGAATGCTCACAAGACTTTCCTTAATCAGTGGGCAGAATGGCTGCCACGAAGTGCCCAGGCAGCCAGAGCTCCTGCACCACCTGGGGACTACCTGGCTGCCCACACAGGAAAAGGGTGGGTTGGAAAAGGCCTCTACGATCATCAAGTGCAGCCATTAATTCAGCACTGCCAAGTCCAGCACTCAACCATTTCCCTAAGCAACCATTCCCTGAGTCCAGCTTTTTAAATACCACCAGGGATGGTGACTCAACCACTTCCCTGGGCTGCCTGTTCCGATGCTTGGCCACCCTTTTGGTGAAGGAATTTTTCACTTGTGGCCATTTTCTGTTTTCCAATGTTTCAGAGGGTTTGGGCCTGCCTTTGCAAAACCAAATTTACTTTTAATGGAAAAGAGCACTCAACAGCAGAATTCATTTCACTCTAAGCAAAAAAAGGTACAGGCATGGAAGGGGAAGGAAGGGAAGAGATATGTATCATTTGTAACTCGTTATGTCTCAAGATAAAAAATCAGATTAAATGGGAAGACATGAACCCTGACAATCCCCTGAGAAAAGCAAGACCCATAACTGAGGACCTTGCACTGCAAAGATCTGATGTATCTGCTGTTGATTTAGGCTCAAAGAGAATCAAAGGGTCTAGTCTGTCAGAAACAGGTGTGTGTGTGCTGGCATCCACACCAGAACAAACAGCAAGCCAAACAGCAATATCTAGAGACAAATACTGGCAACATATTAAGGGAAAGAGCTATGCCTAAAGCCAAAGGAAAAATACAAGAAAAGCTAGAGTCAGTGACAAAGCACTAAAATGTCTGCACCTCAGAGAACAGAGTCTGGGCAAATGATGAAGGAACTGGAGCCACTAGCATGGGACAGAAGTGACTTCTTCAAAGGTCACAGAGGAGGAAAAAGCAATCAATCAGGCTAAGAATACAGGTGAGTAATTTCAGAAGCCAAAGATAAAAAGGGTAAAGGTGACTAAACAGCATTGTGTGTTAATTATGTGATAGAATCAGTTTGGATCAGTTAAAAACAAATAAATGGGGTGGAGTGAATGGGCAAGGCAGGAACTTCACTTCCAGTGGAATTAATTATATCAGGACTAGGCAGTATCTAAATCTGATATTAAAGAGGTATTCTTGGGAAATAGGTCTTTACAACATATCTCCACATTTAAGTAGGACTATGCTAAATAGAGGAAGTCCTCATTATTTACATGTGGGTTAAACTTCTTTACTAATCAACTAAATAAATAGGTGGAGATGTAATTTGGATTTTGTTTTGATAATTAGTCTTGGATTGAATGATTGCATATTGATTCAGTTAGAGAACAAAAGCACAAGGTCATTTTATAATTCACAACTTTCATTTCAAAGTGTATGTTTTAGGAAGCTAAGAGAGGTATACAGAACAAAATTTCTGATAGAATAAGGTGTAGAGGAGGCTTGATTATTTCACAGACTCATAAAATCATTGAGGTTGCTGGATATCATCTTGTCCTACCCTCTGCTCAAATGGGGCCACCTTGAGACAGCTGCCCAGAACTTTTGAATATGTTCAAAGATGAAGAATCCACCACCTGCCTGGGTAACCTGTGCTCATGTTCAGCCACTCTCAGAGTAAAAAAAGTGTTCAGTAGGAACCTCCCATGGTCCAGTTTGTGCCCATTTTCTTGAAATGTCAAGTTTCAAGTCAAAAATTGAAAAAAATAGCTACAGAAGCCAAATCCTATATTAAATAAAAATTAAAAACCCAAACAAGCAAAACAAAAGGACAAGTAGATAAGGAATCTTAGGTAATAGATTTCAAATTTTACTTACTACTTTTGATCTTCAAGAAACATCTCTCTTCTTTGCATTTCTTCTTGTCTTTTTTTAACTTCAAGTCTCTCTGCCTAGAGCAGGAAAAAATACTTGAGGTTTCCAAAAAAGCAAAACCAAACATCAATTATTTCATTTCCAATATTTCAATATTTTTGTTTTTAAAAGATCTATAGCAGTTGGGTACAGAAGTGATCCAATCTTAAATTTAATGGTATTGACTCATGAACAAACATCTCCTAGCCAAGAGACCTGTTTAAACCAGAAAATCACATGGTGCTCCTAGTACCCATCTACCCAAAGGGCCTTGTGAGCCTCACAGCCATCATGTCACAGCCCTGCTGGGGACATCTCAGGGTGCAGCTGATGCAATCTTGGTCCTCACAAGAAGGCAGAAGCCCTAAGCCACTGCACCAAAGCAGATAACAGTCCTGTGGCACTGACAGTGCAGCGATGTGAACGCATGTAGCTCACAGAGCTGACCTGCAGGAGAGTTAGGTAGTGGCCAGCTGAATACGTGCTAATACAAATGAAAATGGGAGACATTTGTACTTAACCAGCATTCTTCTGCCTCAGATACCATATCTGGTGCAAGAGCCAACCAAATCCTTGACACGTAAAACTCCTCCGTAAATCTGGATACCACACAAATTATTAAGTCCCTCAATATAAAATTGCACATAATTTCCAGTGGAAGTATCATCTAAGCTGCCCAAATCCCAAATTCAAGTAGAATAAAACGGTAAAATAAAGCAAAACTAAAGAACTTGCTGCAACAGCAGCAACATGCAATTCAAACTAAATTCCAATGGAAAGGAGGCCAGCCAAATTTTTGTTTGGCTCACAGGATGCAGTTAGGTCCAGTGGGAAGAGGAGTTAAAAGAGCAGTTCAGTGTATGAAAAGAACAAATTAGAAGTTCCAGCCTGAGATTTCATCCTGCTGCATTTTGAACTCCCACACTGAAGTTGGTGGGGGGATGCTCCAGTAAGAGCTCCCAAGAAATGATCACAACAACCTTCATGTGGAGCAAAATACATTCGCGGACTGTCACTCTGCTCACTGCCCACCCTCAAAAGGAAAAAAGGTAATTGCTCAGTAACCCAGCAACCAGGCATTGCTCTGAACAAAGTGCCCTGGAAATTTCAGACAATACCTTGCAGAGATGGGAAGGGGGTGTAGGTGAAAATGGCCCCTGTGGCCAGAGCCCCAAATCAGGGAGAGAACAGTGCCTGAGCACAGGTACTGTGCAAGGACAGGGAGAACAAGGAAGGGGAAACATCTAAGTGGGTAAGGGGTGTTAAGAACAGGGCTGAAATCCCCAGTTCCATAATCTTCTTTCTGTCCTGCAATGAAAAGCATTTCAGAAAAATTACAATTCTGCTGGCAGTTACTCAATCACTTTGCCTTTGGCAATTTCAGGATGCATATTTTTTAATTGGATAAAGAATGACTGTCTGAAAGAGATTTGCAAAACAAGTGCAAATTCCTCCTTTGCATGCACAGGATTAAGAAAAAAATCCTTTCAGATGTCTGCAGATAGGAAAAGAGCCACTATGTTGTGTAATGATAAAAACTGCTGGAAGGCAAAAGACTTAGAAGCTGTTATTTGGAAAAAGGCAGTGAGAAATAAACAAAAGGAGGAAGGGGAATCTCTGAATAAGATGTCCTGTTCACTCATTTGACATGCAGAGACAGTGATAGAATGTATGACATACTGATGCAATTGAAATAATTTAACCAAACTGTAGTAAGGAACATCACTACACAGTATGGATGATTTTAGTGTTCAGGGGATATATTGTTTGCTCCTAACCTAGACACAGACAATGTGTTAGGTAAAAAAACTCCCACTCGTTTGTGCAGCTTCACAGTCTACAGGAAAAGAAAGGAAAGAGGCAGAAAAGAAATCTTATGGCTTGTGTTATTGTCAAAGGTGATGCTGGTACCCTTGAGACACCAGCCGTAGCTCCCAGGCTTTTCCCCAACACTGCCCAACACCACAAGCTGATGCCTTCACCTCTCAAAAAGCATTGGATGTGGGATCCACCATCATATTGCAAGGCTCCTGAAAGTTCAAAAAGAGAAATTCAAAAAGTTCCCAAAAAATGCAAATCTCAGAGGACTTGTTGTGGCCTAGCTCCCAGCTAGTGGCATCTAGAGAACAGTGATATTAACTTTGATAAATACAAACCTTCAGTACCAACCCTGTCTCCCACTAGATGAAAAAATAAAGGAATATCCTACAGCTATTCTACCACCAGAATGGTACTTGAAGAAAACTCCAGCATCTTGAAATTACACACTTGTGGCTGGTGTGACTATTTTTTACTCTGGAAATTTACCTTAGGACACCTGCTTAAGGATGTATGCAAGTGACAGGCGACAGGACGGACACATTCTCCAACTAATGACAATCTATCAATAGACATTGCCAAAGCACTCCACATTTGGCACCATGTTCAAAAAGCCAAGAGTGGAACAGCTGTGATATTGAAGGTAAACACATTGAAAAATATTAGCAGAAGGTCTGTAAAGTGCCTGGTTTTAACAAATTTCTGAAAAAAGGCCACTCATGCTGATTAACACAGTCAAATTAAAGAGCACATGATATGATAAAGAATAAAACACAATTACAGCTTATCCTAAATAAGACAGTTTCTGAAGATGGCAGGACTGTTTGCTGCTTAATGTAAGAGAAAAAACCATTGCCTTCAGTATAGTCACACTGAGCCTTATCATTTCAAATTGTTTGAATCTTCTAATAATCAGTCAAGGCCTAAACTATGAAAGGAAATGCTAAAGGAAGGGTAACAGCAACAGAGATTTAGTGACAGGAAACAGAAATATCCATTGCACTGAAATCATCCAATTTTACATGCAACATAAATGAGAAAAATTTAAAAAGCAAGAAGCCGAGTATCAGCTGCTTGCTTATTTTTTGGGGAACTTTGACAGCGTTTTCACCCAATAGACACAAAGGAAATGACAATCCAGTCTGGTCAAACACTGTGATGTGAAGGGCTGCACAAAAAATACCAACTCCAGACATCTACTACTAATAAGCAAATAATAAAAAAAACTACCTCTCATGTACTTAAACACTTTCTGTGGATTAGACAATTAGACACAGATCTCAGCATCTGGGAAAAATACAGAAAAGGAGAATTCCCCACTCATGTTACAAAGTCTTTTCCGAATTATTTAACTGAGCACTAATCATTAGCTTTCCATACCCAAACTCAGGCAGCCCCCATGAACAAACCCCAACAGTCCCAGGACAAGCAGTCTGTCTTGAAGTGCACAGGAGACCTGAGTATTTGCTCACACAAGGCGGCCCTGTGGAGCGCAGAATGAAGACTCTTTCCTCTCTCTGGAAGCTAGAGAGAGACAAGGTAGATGCCAAGCTGGTCTTCCAGCAGCTAATAACCCCATGGTTAATTAAAGAATGACAGAGAGAGGCAGGTGGGCTCGCACAGATAGTGAGGCAAACCTTCGTATTTGGGTACTGCTTTGGCAGACTCACAGTTTTCGCTTTTTCACAAAGATAATGAAAGGGAATGCTGCTTTTCTCTGCAAAACTAGCATTAAAACACTAACATAAACAGATCCTAAGGTCACAAGCAGCACTGGCTTACAGTACATCATCCTTACAATCAAGGAAGAACTGAGCTGAGTATCAGCACCCGTTCTAGTCATCACGCATTAGTCTATAGGGCTTCACCATTCATGTCTGTTGGCAAAGAAGCTTTCCAGCTGTGAAAGTTCCAGGGCTCCTGCTGATAAAGCTGGCTAGCTATTATCTCCTCTCAGACTGTCACACAATTTGTTTTTTATTGAATGAATAATAACCTTGAGCAAAAGAAGGGCTGGCCAGCAAGGAAAGACAGCCTGTGAACTTGCAGAAAGACATGCTCTCAGCCAATGCCCTACAGGTGCAGCTGAATACAAATTTATCACTTCAAGTAAAAAGCTCCTTTCCTTTGGTAAACAGAGCCCAACGCTGGTTGTACAGCACCAGTAGGATCTGTGTCATTCTCCGGTCTTGGGAGCCTTTAATCTGTAGACAGGGTGAGATAGCCAAATTGGCACTTTCCAGTTGCTTTTCAGCATGCTCTTCTTAAAAGGTTAAATATTTAATACCTAATCATCTTCCAAGAAGAAATCTCCATCGGCTCAATCACTATTGTGGAAGACAATCTGAATAAACAAATTTAAACTAAGACTTCCCTTTCACACACCTCTGTTTTGTGTGATTGCTTTGTGGGTACATGTTTATTTAGTCAAATTAGTCTGTTTGGCAAAGATGTTTGCTGCAATGTTACATCCTCCTTCAGCAAAAACAGATACTTATGGTTTTACTATCTACAACATCTATAAAGATTTTATAATCTGTGGGAGTGAAGGTAAGGAAATTAAAGAGCATGAAAACAAACCTGATACATCAATATATTTTCCAGGTGTAACTAGAAATTATAGCAGTCTTGTAACATTTTTCTTGTCCAATGCCCACGGGCAAACAACATATATTAAATAATTAATCCACTCACTTCCACTGCTATCATCACTGTGTCTGGAGCTATACAAGAGATGGTAACAGCTAACAACATTTTCAGGAGATAGTATTTATTGTCCCTGTAAGCTATTGTGTATGGGCTTATGCCCAAAGTATAATACTAACCACTGAGAGACCAGGAACAGACTAACCCTCACCTAGAAGCAAATACAGTTATTTTTGTGTATGCATGCCCTTGCACGCCAACCAGTATCGACGACTTTTTAATTAACTCTCAACATTCAGTTTCTGCACTGAAAATCATTTTTACTGTTGTGGAGACAAAATGTGCAAACCTGAAATCTCCCTTTCTCTCCTTGTTAATGAGCACATCAGTATCATACTCCCTCTTCTTTCATTTTTCATTTAAATTCCACACTGCATTCTCAAGCCAGTACTACTTGGTTGCCACCAAGGAGACACAAATGAACTTTTACAAAGGGTTGTACAGCACAAAGAAGGAGATGCTTTATGAGAATAACTGGAGAAAGCAAAAAAATTAAAAATAATAAAAGAAAAATTTTGAGTGAGCTATCATTGGTGTCAATATGTGGAGAATATTGGAAGGAAGAGTGATCTGGCCTATTAGCAGGACACCTGTGTGTGCTGGCTGTAGAAGGGCTGGAGGGGCAGCTGAATTTCAGGGTGCTCTCATCACAATGCAGGTAGACTACACTGACCTTTCCATGATTTGGATATCTTTTCCATCCTGACAGGCTGGATTTTCTTGTATTCTTCCCATGTGCACAGGTAATTATGGATTTCTATAAGGTCTTTGTGCCAACTGCTACAGTCCAATCTTAGAGATGGAGCTCATGCCAAAGTGAACCATATAACCTGCACACAATTTACTCCTGGCCTCCCTTTCTGCTAACTCTGCCAGACAGATGCAACAGAAAGGCTGGAGTTTCTGATGAGCCAAAGGAACACTCAAGCCCCCAAAAACCCTGGGCAGGCATCCTTCAGTCAGCTACGATGAGAAGGAAGACTACATTTCCTAATTCCTCAATACCATCCAGGGCTACCACTTAATTTAATTAGCCAGCTCCATGTAGCTCAGCAAAATCAAACATCAAGACATGAACTGTTATATGGCTTCAAGACTGCAGTAACCAGATTTACCTTTTCTCTCTGAATTGCTTTCTTTTTCAGGATTTCAGCTTCTTCAGCTGCCTTTTTTGCTTTTACGTACTCTTCTCTTTTGTGCTGTGTGACACAAACATAGGAAGTTATTTTACATATTTATGTATACAAGGAACACATAATGTAACTTGACTCCTATAGTGCACATCTTTCAAATCTAAAATGTGTTAGGGGAAAGTTTCTGGATTTTTTTCACTTAAAATAAGACACTGAATAATGCAGGTTGTGCAACAGCTACTGCAATATTGGCTTAAAGAAGACTGAAAAATCTAGGACTGATAAATGGGCATCCATGCAAGGACTCACACAGCTGACTGATAACTTGCAAGCATTTATACCTCTTGTAACAGGAACAACATTTTCACATAAGCACGGGACAGGGTGGTACATTGATCAATTAGTCCAAGCATAAGCAGCATGCTGGAAGATACAGTATGGCATTTAAGTGGCTTTACAACTGTTCTGGTTGTTATTTGAGATATCATCTGTGATACAGATTGCTACATATTTATGGAAAGATTTCTCATTTTCTTTGGTGCAGAACATTAGTTTCTGATTTTCTGCTGCTTCCTTCAGGTTTCATGACTTTCTCCTGTCAAGCGGCTGTGAGTTCATTTTATAGTCATACAAAACACTACAGAAAAAGCTTTATTTTGAGTTCTAAAAATAAACAAATACATTTATTCTTACTGACCTTTTTCTGGTATTTAGATTGCATGAGAATCATTTGTTGGTTTTGTCGTACTTGAGCCTCTAATTCATTTCCACCTTAAAAAAAACCCAAAAGTATAAATGGTACTTTGTATGAGCATTTTAACTGCAAATGCCGGTCATTTCAGAATACAGCAATATAACAGACTGGATGTATGCATATACAGGAAATTTTTCATAATTACAGTAGCTGTCTGACATTAAAGAGAACAGATAGGAGACCTTTTTGATCATTTTTTTCATCCATCAAAAGCACTTGCCTATTATTTACAGAGCACTCACTGTAGCATCCACTCTACCAACAAATATGTCTCTACAATACATGATCAGTTTACTGAGGAACTATTCCATTTTCAGAAAATCAGTCATGCATTGCAGGTGAGTTTTCATTTTCACATTCAGCTATCCCCACCTTCGCTCAGTTTGTCACACACATACAGTCAGAAATTCTATTGCTAAAAAGTTTGTCTTTTATCAAATTTAGGATCTTGGACTCTGCCAGCTCCAATGGGATTCTATCATGTTAATATTTTCTAAGAAATGTCTTGGGGCTCAGGGAAGAACCCCCTTTCTGAAATGGAAGTAAAAGCCTTTCTCACAGACCTAACATTCATATCCAGGTAGTAGAAAGCATCCTTTTCCAAAGCCATGGACTCTCTTTTGTGAACATCTAAAGCTCTGGCCATAATGTTCAGCCTTCAGTAAAAAGAAACAAAATCCCCACAAACAAAGAAGCCAACCACACAAGGAAAGTGATACTAGGTCTCAAGGGATTGAGGCAGTGACTTTAATTCTATTACTCTGCTTTATTTTCCAAAGTATTTTCTTTCTGTAGGAAGGGAAATAATTTATTCCCTTCAGTTGTTGCAAAAAATAACGACAGCCCTTACTCCATTCCGAGGATGGGGGCTGTATTTCCCCAATTTACTATTTTCATGAGAAATTCCCAACTCCATGTGCCTCCTAATTCTATAGAAGCAGCTGGACCAATCTGTGCTACTTTAGGTGCCTGATATCCTGGGCTGTATCAAAAGCAGCATGGGCAGCCAGTTGAGGGAATGTGATTCTGCCCCTCTGCTCTGCTCTGGTGAGACCCCACCTGCAGTGCTGCATCCAGCTCTGGAGTCCCCAACAGAAGAAGGACATGGACCTGCTGGATGGAGTCCATGGGAAGGCCTCAAAAATGATCAGAGGGCTAGAGCACCTCTCCTGTGAAGAAAGACTGAGAGAGCCAGGACTGCTCCCCCAGGAGAGGAGAAGGCTCCAGGGAGACCTCCTAGCAGCCCTTCAGTACCTGAAAGGGCCTAGAAGACAGCTGGAGAGGGAATTTTTGCAAGAGTATATAGTGATAGGACAAGGAGGAATGGCTTTAAACTGAAAGAGGAGAGATTTACATTGAAGATAATAACGGCATATTTCACTGTGAGGTGCTGAGGCACTGGCACAGATTGCCCAGAGAAGCTGTGGATGTCCCATCTCTGGAAGTGTTCAAGGCCAGGCTGGATTGTGCCTTGAGCAACCTGGTCTAGTGGAAGGTATCCCTGCCCATGGCAGGGCAGTTAAAACTGAATGATATTTAGGTTGCCTTCAGACACAAACCACTCTATGAATTGCAAGACCTTTCAGAAATGTAAAAAATACTAGGAGGGATCACTCTTGTCTAAAGGTAGCTCTCTCCATTTACTAATGGAAGATAACTAATCTTTAGGAGCTTTTGTGACATTCAGTGAATGGGAGATCAATACCCTAAGCGTGGCAACATTTCTATGGGCGCAAATAAATCCCTAAGATAAATTCTCCAGAGAGAATGGCCATAGAGTAATACAAGCAATAAGCTTAAAGTAGCAATAAGCATACAGCTGCCATTGTAGTGTCACTTCCCCAGGTCTAGAAAATAAAACTGCTGCTAAACAGGTTTTGAAACCTATTAAATGCCTAATCTTTCTCCTTTTTTTAGCGTTTTAATAGCAAAATTTCTTTTGTACACTGTAGTTTTTTTGTTGGTACTAGTGGATGCTGTCTCGGAACAAACATTTTTCTGATCATTATTAGAAATTGCCTATAGCCTTTCAGCCAGGTTGAATTCATTCAAGCTGCCTTAGCTGTAATGTGTCAAATGCTTCACTGAAGTCAGAGGGTGTTGTGATCATATATTATAACACCAGAAAAGAGACTGTTGCATTTATCAGGCATGATTTGTTGCTCCACTTGTTGCTTACAGAGGAGAGTAGAACTTGCATCCTTCATTGCTCTCATCTCTCCATGATGCCTGAAAGTTTGCCAGTCAAATATTACAGAGTTGAAAGCCAGAATACTTATTTCCCTGTGGAAACCACAAGTGTTAAAAAACTTTAGGAAACTTCAACTTTATTTAGTGATTTTATATAGTGATTTGGACTAGATGTGCAGTCCCTTAAAATCACTCTGAGAAAATAACACATGATACTTTTTTCTCCTAATGAGTACCTACAGGGTGAAATTAGAGATGCCATTTCAGCTCCAAATTTGTTCCTGTGGGAGTGATATGTTCTAATAATCTTTGCACCTCAGTTCTTTTCAGAGGCACTGAACACAGTACCTGTGTCTCAGCCTCCAGGAGTCTAAGTGGCAGCTAGAGAGTGACTAATGACATCATATTTTCTTACTTTTTTTTTTTTTTTCCTCTGAAGTTTCTTCTTTGCCCAGAAGGATTTTAAATGCAGTGGGGCCAGAGTTAGGACTCCTTACACTCAGTCCCTGCAGCTTTAAGGACACTCTCAGTCACGTAGCCAGCTTGCACACACCAAATATGTCAAATTTCTTTTTCCAGACTTCACGTTCTTCAGCAAAAAGCTCTATGGTCTTTTTGTGATAGAAGAATGTCTTCTAAAAACTACCCATAAGCAAGAAGCAGATGTTACATGTGAACTCACAAAGACTGTGTCTGGCCACACAACTGCACATGGTTTGAATACAGGGCATTGCCACCACTGCAAACAACTGTGACTCAGCTGCAGGGCAGAACATGTGGGACCAGGATCACCTTGAGCCAAAAATCAGCTCTGGGTTGGAGTCAGCTCAAATTCCTCTATCTTCCACCTGCTGTACATTTTTATACACTGGACACCACCACAAACTTATCTTGTGTAGCCTGGCAAAGAAAGAACTTAATTTGCAGGTCAAAGCAGACCACATCCTGCACTGTGCACCCCAAATTCTCCTACAAAAGCCAAGGTAAGGAAAGGCAGCTCTTCTTTTCTAAAACTTTTTAAAACTAAGTCTGAAATATCACTAAATTCAGTACTTTATGGTGGTTACAATTCAAGATATCTCCTACACTTCCCCTCACCCATCTAGAAAACATCTTGCTTATCTTAACAACCACATCAGTTATGTTCAGGGTGTCTTAAGTTCTTGCAGCTTTTTACCCTGTTTTTCATTTACTTGTCTGTTATCTTCAAAAAATTGGTAATACAGGGCTTCACACACATTTAGCCTGCAAATGTGGAAGTTGCAGGGATCACTTTTGCCTCTTCAAGAGCCAACAGCCTGGAAAGCACACAGAGGAGTTTTCTTATGGGTAACTGGAGGGTCTCCAACATGCTGTCCATCTGCACACTAATGACAAGTGTGTGCCCCCTCAGAGACATCAACCACAGACAGTGTAAACAGCAGGAGGGTTAATCCACCTGTTTTCCCCAAATGGTAGTACAGATTTTCTACCCTGCCCTTGACAGATTTCTTGAGTGACAATCTGTGCTGTTTTGTTTCAGAAACATCTTCCTTGCCTTGATCATCAAGAAGCACAGAGCACATACAATAGACTCAGGTCAGCCCTTATTGAAACTGAATCTCTTTTAATAAGTAGAGAGAAAAAGTTAAAATGCCTCATGTCTTGGAAAATTAAATTTTGGAATTCTCAGTTGCTGATTTCCATGTCTTACCCAGTCTCTGTGGCACCAACGTAATTGGCCCTGGCCTGTGTTCTTTCTTCCATTGCTCCAGGTCATCGAGCTCTTTCTTAGCAACTGAGCAGGTATAAAAAGAAATAAATATATGGAAGTTAGAGGAATACTAACAAGCAGCCATTACAGCTAATTGCATGTAATCTTGAAGACCATCCAGGAACCAGCTTGCTTCTCAAGAGATGCAGACACCCCCACAAGAGGCTACAGAGTCACTGCAATAATTAGCTAATATGGCAAACATTTTTCCTAACTTGAGACTGTAATGGTGAGCAACCCTAGGACTCAACACCAAAAGTAAAGCCAAAACCAGCTAGGAGACTACTAATAGACTGCTTTTTAACCCCTGGGAACCTATAGGTAAGTGCCACAGTATTTATTCCTTCAGGTAAAGCAGAAGTTGTTATGATGAAGATATTATTACTGCATAGAGGGAAATCCTTGTGGTGTAATGCTCCCCAGCAGGGAAAAGAAAAGTAATTTTCCCTCCCAACCACATGCTCCCTAAATAAAAACAGGAGGAATGCATGAATCAGCTTCAAATTAAGACACTTCAACATAGGCACCCATGTGAGATGGGCAGCAAGCTTCCAGTGTAGTCAGTGCAAGTCAATACAGCCGGGGTGCAGCCATATGCTCCAGGATGGCTGATTTAACTTCTCTCTTTGTCGACTGACAGAGAGAAAAGCACAACAATTCCTTAAAATAGCAAGGCCAACAAAGCCAGTGGAAAGAGGAGCTGTGTTTTACACTAGCACTTCAGTTGCTCTAGAAGCTTATTTCACTCTTACTAACTGTGCATCCTAATGGCTGGCTATGGCTATTGGAGGCTAACACCAGCCTTCCTCTAAGAGGACAAAGCCAGTGTTTGGGTAAACCTCTAAAGAGACCCAAAAGACAGAGAACAGCTTTTTATTTTGCCTTCAAAACAAGCATTTAAGTAGAGACTGTATCCAGTGAGGTCCTATTTCTGCCAGCGTCCAAGACAGAAATACTTGACATGCTTCAGACTTTCCACAGTGGCACCACAAAGTGCAAACAGATCTTTATTAGAGCAGCAGCACCTTTGCTGTTAATATCATAGTCAGGTCTAAGATGATATGCTGCTATTCTTCCTTCAAAAAGATACCGTTTGGTTCATGATAAATCCATTTTCTTTCTTGCATCCAAAGGAAACCCAACCCACACCAGCCTGCTGGTGAAGCATTTCAGCCAAATTCACATGTTTGAGAAGAAAGGATTTGATTGTACTGTTTCCTCGAGGACTTAAGACATGAGAAGTGCTGACTCACATTTCTTCGGCTTTCATGTCTTGCATAAATCAATGCCCAGGTGTGTAGAACTGCTGTGCCCAGTCAGTCACCACTGTATACAGAATTTATTTCACATCTGACTCTGGCTGTAACTTTGCCAATAAAAGACTTCAACATAGGCCTGATCTTTCTGGTAGAGATTCTGGCTGCTCCTCCTTAGCTATTTTCACCAGCAAGACTCAAAGCTAAGCAAAAGTGAACATATATCCACAAATACTTTCCACCTAAAATTACTTTTATCAGTTTCAGTAGAAGAACCACCTAACTCAAATGCATGTTCAAGAACCAATAGTGTCTGCAGTCGCTTTTGTTTTCACATGGGAGTATTTTTAAAAATATTTCTTATTTATATTTTTATTCTTCTTCCTCCTAACCCTGAGACTGTTCAAAGTTCCCAAATATGAATTCAATCCTGTAAAAGTTGGATAGAGCTAATTCCAGCATAGTTTTGCAGAAGCCATCTTGAACAACTCCTGCACTGAAACTACCAAAACCCTTCCAAACAAGATTTATTCTGCGTGAAGTGATGCCAGATGATGAGTCACTCTTAAGAAAAGCTACATCATCATGGAGAATGCTCATAGCATTGGCATTACTGTCATATCTGTACATATAAAAGCATTGTAAAAATGAGGATAAAAATTGCAAGAGCAATAAAATGCTAAAATCCCGAAGTTATTCAAGTTGAAATAGTGTATTATGATATTAGACAACTCAACTTACTTTGCTGCAACTGTTTTCTTCTGGTTTCATTTGGAGTTACCAAGACATATGGGCCAACACTAAAATGAAAGAATACACTCTTATTTTTCCTGTTCACACAAAATCAGAACTAGAATGTGTTCCTTCATCACCAGTTTTCTGCTGTTGTAGCGAACAACTTCATAGAAAAACTAGTATTTATTCTGATTCAGCTCTTTAGGAATTTTTGGTAAGTACTCCAAGGAGTTCTTGTTATATTTGTAATTGGCAGCAGATACCAAGAATAATATTTTCAGGAATTTTTAGCATACCCTTTGCTGTTCTTATTCAAGTCTTACTCTAGACTGCTGACCTCAGATCTCATGCATTCCAAATCAAATCACGTCCTTGAATCACAATGTTCCATGTGGAAGACCACTGTCTGCTGGGAAGAACACTGCTGCTGGCGGTCCCACCCCTTACCTTGGGGGCACCAAGCACCTTGTGGACTTAAGCAGTCTGCCCAAAAGTTGTCCAAGGAGTGTGCAAAGTCACACTGTTTGTGATGGACCCAGGTGACTTACTCTCAGCCTGAGCCTCAGTTTCCTTGCCAGCCTTTCATTTTCAGGCACCAGGAATTCCTTGGGCATATCCATCTTGCTGTCACACCTAAGGTGCGACTCACTGAATCAGGACAAGGGGCCTGTTTTGCCAGACTTAATTCAAAATGCAGTTGCTGTCTCAAGGAGCTATCAATCTAATGTGACAGCAAAGAGGCAAGCCAGGGTTCAGAGTGTATTAAGAGACTCGAGGTGATCAAAAGAGTGATGAAAACTTGTCAGTTCCACTTGGAGAAGACAAAGGGCTTTATCTCCATGGTGTATTGTGTGAGTAGGAGTTTGCACGGCTCCCACTTATCAGAAGTTGTGCTATGGGGGTGCAGGTTTACCAGAAATGCACTAAGAAAGTTGGCCCCACACATCAGAGTCTTGGCAGGGTTTTATATGCATGTGTGGGCACAAATATTTCATCTGGCTTCATTGCAGGAAAAGCACAAGGAGAAGAACAGCTAGCAAAGAATAATTAGGGGTGAAGGCTGAGCCTCTTCAGGAAGGGCCACAGGGAGTGGCTAGAGGACAAACTAGTAAGCAGAGAGAGAAGTTGGCAATGGAAAAGTAATGAAACAATAAGGCCCAAGACTGAGGCTTAAAAGGGGAATGAAAATCAAGCAAAGAGATCAAAGTGCCCAAAGCTGCCTGCTGCCGTATCACTGTAATTCAGGATTTGGTAAGAGAGTATTTATATCCAATTACCTCTTTCTCTTTGAAGACTTATTCTAGGAGGATGTGGATTAATTTATGAGATTAAACTAGTAAAGATAGAGCTGTGAGCTTTAATGGTGCCATTTAATATGATCTTTTCCCTTTCTGCCGGCATACTCTGGTGCCCCCAAGACAGTGAGACTGTTCTGCACATCTCCACCGAACCCCAGACCCTCCAAGGCTGGAGTGAAGAGGGCAGCAACGCCCCAGTGGCACTCACCACATAACTGCAAACATTACTTAAAAGAAGCTTTAACAACACATCTCATTTATAGCATAACATTCCAAATCAATGATGTTGTTTCAGATTTTTCTCTATTTGATTGAGTGGTAGCACTTCCAATTTATCCCAAAGTGCCTTTAGCAAGCTGTTACACAATGTATCTGTTTAAAGACTTTTTTATAGCTTTTGTTTTTGTTTCAGATATTAAGATCATATTTCTCTCAAGTTCATACACAAAAATTATTAAGTACCTTTTAAACTCCCCTCCTCTCCCTTTGGCAGTGATAAAAGTGGCTGAAATTGTATGTTGCAATGCTACATATCTTCCTCTCCCAAAAATTGATCAGTGCATCTAGATAACACGCTGCTTCACAGCACTAGAGGGCAGAAGAGTTTTTATACCATGTACTTTGATGACTTCAAACAGCATTTGTCTGGTTGATTTGTTTTAAGTTATAATCAATTTTTTTTAAAAAGACCTTGGCTTGTCTGGACGTGTATGAGAAATCACAGTACCAAATCTAGCCCTTTTGCCATGAATCATTTCCTTCATCTGCTTCTGCTTTTTGGCTGAAAGGCTCACACCCCAGGAAGCCAGGTGGGGGCCACTCTTCTGGTACCTGACCATGGACTCATCTTCAGCACCTTAGAAGGACTGCACATGAAATTCAGCAAAGATCAATCAGCTTACCAAAGAGGTAGAGGCAACAGTACATTTACCATCTGTTTTCCAGAGAGCAGATTAAGAGTTGTTGTGTTTAAAACAGTGTTTATTTGAAAGCAAAATTCATTTCCATTTATTGAAATAAAGGCAAAGAAAGTGAGGATGCCAAGTCTTCAGTGGGGGAGAGAAGAGAACAGGACACCAACTTTTCTTTGTCTTTTATCTAATGCTTTGTTTTACTTATTATTAGAAATAATAAGGAAAAAAAAAAGGCAGGGGGGAGCATTATTGAGTTTATCTAACTTTTTAGTATTCACCTTGGTCTCTGGAAAAAAATGCCAGAGTGTGGGTTTGGGTACTGGGATCAGGAATGGCCTTAAGCTGAAGGAGGGCAGGTTCAGGTCAGATGCTAGGAAGAAATTCTTTACTGGCAGGGTGGTGAGACACTGGCACAAGTTGCCGAGAGATGTTGTGGATTCCCTGTACTTAAGGTGTTTAACAGCCTGGTCTAGTGGAAGGATTCCTGCCCATGGCATGGGTGTTGGAACTAGATGACTTTTAAGGTTTCTTAAAGAATCATTCCATGATTCTCTGATCAGGGAGAAGGAGGAGTAAGTACATGGTAAATTTCTTGTGTGAGGGGTGAAAGTCAGGGTCCAAACTGGTTCCTTGCCTTTTACCCCTACAAGAGAGGAAGCCAAATGAGCTGTTGCCTGAGAAATTCTACCTGCCCTACCAGTTCTAAAATCTGCACCTAATATTCCTTCTTTTCTTGAGATTCTCTTTTTGAAGGAAAGGAAGTTAATGAAAAAACCCACCACCAGCTTCCACCTTGTGTTTCTATCCAGTTTGCAGGATATTTTATGTCATTTCTTTGTTCAGGCAAAACCTCTGATCCAGTTAAGCCTATAAAACCTGCTACAGCCTGTCAATTTAATATTCCAGTCAGTTTCTGGGTTGCCACAGTAGCCATAAGTCTGGAGCAAATTATCCTACTTACCTGGGGAGCAATTAAGGAAATGTGAAGATTTGAAGCTATCAGTGGTCTGCAGAATTTTGTGCTTTATACCAAAGCACACTTTATGAAGTGCTTCAAAGTCCACAGACAGAAAAGATTATAAAGAATTTAAATTTACAGTTTCCCTAATAATGATTCTAATTGTTATAAGACTTAAGCCTATCTTTGAGGTAGAGTTGTTTTATAAATACAAATACAGAAGTCACTGGAAGGGGGAGAAAGAACATCTTACCCCAGTTATAGCTCTTCAAAAAAGACAAATCATCTTCTGCCTTTATGGATCATATTAATCTTGATGAGTGTTTTTTGTTTTATTTTCTCTGCGGAAAATGGGAATGTGTTGACTCATTACACAGACTGAACAGATATTAATGAGAGTAAGAAAGTTGTAACCCAATAAGAGAATGTATCTATATTGAAATAAAAAAAACGAACCTCCTATGATTTTTCAAGCAGATACACATAATATACCACAGTTGTGGGATTCTAAATGCCTATATATCATTGTGGTTTAACCCCAGTCAGCAACTGGGCACCACATGGCTGCTCGCTCACTCTGTGATGGGATGTGGGCTCACCCATGGGATAGGAGGGAGAATTAAAAAGGTTAAAGTGAGAAAACTCATGGGTTGAGATAAAGACAGTTTAACGGGTAAAGCAAAAGCTGCACACACAAGCAAAGCAGGAATGGATTCATCACTTCCCATGGGCAGGCAGGTGTTCAGCCATCCCCAGGAAAGCAGGGCTCCACCACATGTAACAGTGATTTGGGAAGGCAAACTCCGTCACTTTGTACATCTCTCCTTCTCCTTCTCCTTCCCCCAGCTATGTATGCTGAGCCTGATGCCATATGTTATGGGATACACCTCTGCCAGCTGCGGTCAGCTGTCCCACAGCTCTCACAACTCCCTGTGCACCCCAGCCCTCTCTCTGGTGGAGTGGGAGGCAGAAAAGGCCCCGACTCAGTGTCAGCCCTGCTCAGCAATAACAAAACGTCTCAGTGTTACCAACACACTTTTGGCCACAAATCCAAACCATAGCCTCACAGCAGCTACTATGAAGAAAATAAGCTCTACTCCAGCCAAAACCAGCACATACAGAGAGAGATATAAAACATTTCAATAAGGAGAAACATGCAATTATGTCATAGATAATCTCTAATGATAGTTTACACTTTGAGTGATCAGTGACACCATGTCTGAAAACCTAAATTTTGAATCATATGTGTAAGTCTACTCTTCTAACTAGCTCAAGGACACCTCTTCAGTGCTTTAAAGGCATTGATGATAACAATTTTTGTTCTACTTTCTTTCAGGTTTGTATAAAATAGTTTATTTCTAAAATTGAAAAAACCCATGGGGACTGCTGCTCACTGGTAATAGGTTTTGCAGAGCTGTGCTCTTCAGTTTTTCCTCAGGTCCACTCCAGCCATCTACCACAGGAGAGATACGCAAATGAAGTGTGAAATAGTTTAAAGAATTAGAAAAGGAATGGGTGTTATAAACTGTACCCAATTCCCCTGTGTTTTATACCGTAGGTGCATTGGTACATGAATGTCACAGAGCTGAAAGCCAAATATCTTGCTCTGCTGGGCAGAGTACTCTGCATAACAGACAGAAACCAAGGAGAATGAAGTTGGAGAGCAACAAAATGACTAAAGCTTGGGAAGGAGGCATGGACACATTCAGTCAGAGGAGGGACCTAGGGTGAGATACTGCATTAGATAGTATGTTAAGACTGAATTTAAAAGAGATCAAACGCCAAAGCCAGCTCTTGAATTTCCTTCAAAGATACACTAAGCTGAACTTTGCATTAATTTATCAGGAATTGTTTTAAGAGCTGTCAAGTCCACACCACCACAAAGTATTGTTTTC